CAGAACACAGTGCATACAGTGTGAGCATAAGCAGAACACAGTGCATACAGTGAGCATAACCAGAACACAGTGCATACAGTGTGAGCATAAGCAGAACACAGTGCATACAGTGTGAGCATAAGCAGAACACAGTGCATACAGTGTGAGCATAACCAGAACACAGTGCATACAGTGTGAGCATAACCAGAACACAGTGCATACAGTGTGAGCATAACCAGAACACAGTGCATACAGTGTGAGCATAACCAGAACACAGTGCATACAATGTGAGCATAACCAGAACACAGTGCATACAATGGCGCTGTCAAAGATCTCAGCATGCTGGCATTACTGACACAAGTCACCACATCCATCACAAGTCACCTCCTGCCTTTTGCTCCCAAAACTTTCTGTGCTTTGTTGACACCTCCCCCCCCCCCAATATCCAAGTTGGGGATCCTACTTGCAGCTCTTGGAAACAAAGAAACAAGCTGGCTTCAGTCCTTAGCTGTAGATGTTCCCTAAACCTCCCTGAAGCCACACACACACACAACCCGGTTTCTAACATGAGGGTCCAGCCCACAGCAGAACAGCTACTTCCTTCTACTGTTCTAATAGGAAGCCCTTTGTTTTCTCTCCATATACATCCGGTTAACTATTAGAATATTCCTCAAGATGCTTTTATGCCACTAGTCTGATTTTTATTTTTATTTTTTATTTTTTTTTGGTTTTTCGAGACAGGGTTTCTCTGTGGTTTTGGAGCCTGTCCTGGAACTAGCTCTGTAGACCAGGCTGGTCTCGAACTCACAGATAGTCTGATTTTTAAAAAGGAAGGAGGGAAGTCAGCCAGCCAATCTCTGGTTTTCTCTAAGAACACAGTCCTTCACATCTGGGCAGACGAACTTCAGAAGACGCTCTGGACATAATGAACAAATACACACTTTCTGGAGGTTGAAGTGATCGGGTACAGAACGCCTGGGCTATAGGAAGGCTGTGTGAGTCCTACTACAGAGCAGGCTCGAACTTCTGAAGACGGTAGAGATCAACAATGGCGGCGAGAGGAGGGGGGCTTTCACTCCACGCTCCCTCCCGCCCTCTCTTTGTAGACTTTCCAGTTTGACCTGTTCGGCCCCCTCCCCCATCACAAAGGACAGTGACTCCTGCCAGGACAGAATTCACCCAGGGACCTGGCATCACACTTCCTGCCAGGCAGCTGCTTCCTCTAATCCCACCCCCACACTGTAATACAAATGACACGAGCTGGACTTTGGACAGAAACTCTGCTTATCAGGGAGTCCCAGGCAAACCAACTCCAGGGTTTCAAAGCCTGGAAAACCCCAATGCCCATCTGCTTATACTGCTTCCCCGACCCTCCTCCCAATCCTGAGAAACCTCTTTTTCACTTCATATTTGCTTTTCACACCTAGCCGAGCCTGTGCAGAGGGAAATAGGCATGAATTCTGAGATTTCCTAGTCTCAAAGCCAACAGATGTTCAAATCAAGCCCCATTACTTCCTCATTTACCACATAAAATGTATGTCGCATTTCAATCCATCTTTGGGGGTTTGGGAGAGGGGCATGTCGGCACCCTTCCCCTTGAATTCCAGCTGTGTGGAGGTTGGACAGATCCAAGCAGCCAAGATCATAGCCCCTATAATAATGCTAGCTAGCATGGGGGAAAAAAAAACACAGTGGAAACTGAGTTCAAGACTACTAGCCTAATCTACATAGCAAATTTCAGGCCAGCTAAGGCTACACAGTAAGACTCAGTCTCAAAATAACAACAAAAAAAAAAAAAAAAAGGAGGAGGAGGAGGAAGAGAAGAAAGATTGATTGATTGATTTTAGGCTATATTAAGTAAAATAAACAAGATGTGATCTAATACATACTGTACTGTAAGCCTCTACTGTGTAAGGAAATGGTGAGAAAACAAATACACATTTGCACACATGTGTCTGCATAACAAAATACTAGAAAGAATCTCTGCCAGGTATAGTTTAGCAAGAACAGAGTGGGAGGGAACCACTCCACCCCTTCGATATATTTTGAATCTCAAATCCTGTCAACCAATGCACTTTGGATAAACACTTTTTAGAATCACAGCAGCTCTGCCCACAGAGCTACGCTCGAGGCCCTGAACAAGCCCAGCTCACAAGCGGATGCGAACTGTCACAGGTGAAAGCATTCCAGAGCCAAGTCTAGCCTGCTGGAGCACCGCCACCGCTCGATTTCCTCCTAGCTGTGGCCACTCACCAGTTTCTAGTTTCAAGAGAACAATCATTTCCCCAGGATGAAGCAGTAGGCGTGACTCACCAATCCACAGTTTTGAGGAAAGTCTGCCCCGTGAACAGCACATTGGAAATCCTCAAAGGGGACTTCTTCAGAAACACCAGAAGAACCAAAAGCCATGGCCTTTGTCCACCCCTCTTAGCAAGGGAACCCCACACCCAGGTAAGAGGAGGCAGCGAAAATGTCAGCATTCCACCCAACCCTGGCTTGCTTTCCTCCCTTCTGAATACAATAAAATTTGGCCCATCCACTGGCCAGTGCTCGTAGCTGAACTTTTTCCAAGTTCAGGTTCTCGAGGGAATGGAATGCAGCATTCTGGGTCACCAGTCTTACAACCGCCAAGCTCAGCCCTCGCAGCGTGTCTATGTGTGTCCCTGCCCACTAAGTACCTCAGGCTGGAGCTGTCTTTCACTCAGCTGCTCACACTATCTTGTCCTTTCTTCTCCCTCCCCGATAGCGGAGACCACGATGAGTGACTCAGAAAGAAAAGGACACAGTGGCCGTTTGTTTATGCTTCAGACCAGATGCCCCCCCCAAAGACCATACTTCAATTTAATGCTAAAATAAAGCCTTGCCAGCGGGAATTTCCCTGCTTCCTTTGACCTACTCTGGTAAGGACAGCATTCTTACAACCTCACAAAATCCAAAGGGGTAGGTAATAGCTGTGCAGCAGAAATCCCTTCATGTCCTGGGATGTAGCTATTACCTCCATTGATCCTCACGGCAAGGGCAGGACCGGTATTATTACACCTGTTTTATAGCTCAAGAGCCGAGTTTAAGGTCACAGACAGAGAAAAAAGCAAAGCCAGGATGCCTGATGAAGTGGCCAGGCTACCATTTCCATCCTCATTTGCACTAAGCAAACCACTCCCCTCCCCCAGGTCTGCCTTGACTTAAAAGTTGCAAGGTGAATTCCTCCACCCTACCACCCATACCCCAGCCCCTCCATAGGAACCACTGCCCCGCCAAGCAAATGCAACACCTCAGGCTTCCTAAGAACGTGGCTGCTTGCTCAAAACGTCGCTGTCACAATCCTTTGGGCGGGAGTTTGCTATAGAACCAAGATAGGAAGTTAGGGAAAGAGAAAAGGAAGGCAGCTTCAGGAAGTTTACAAGCCTAACAACTGCTGTCAGTGATCCAGAAGAAACTGAACACAAAACAGGAAAATGGGTGTGGCTAACATTTCTAAGATACAAATTAAAATGAAGTAAGTGATGGTTGGGCAAAGAAAGGAAGATGAGGAAAAGCAGAAATGGATGGGCAGAATGAGAAGTTCAAGCGAGACAAGAAAGATCTGGTGGAAGGTTGTTTTGGTTTTGTTTTTTATTTTATAAAACAGCAAATTCTGAAACAATCACTCAGATAGTGCCTCATCCCTAAGATGCTGGCTCTCCAGGAATGGAGGACAGAGGACTTTGGTCCAGCCCCAGCTTCTACCCCCTTGTAAACTGGAAAGGTCATTTCCTCTCTCAAGACTAGTTTCCTTATCTGTAGGAAAAGAGAAGTAGGATCACCCATTGTCTAGTCCACCCACAAAACTGGTTCACAGCTTTGTGATGAGACAAAGGCGTTATCTATCTATCTATCCACCGTGGATGATCTATTTCTGTTCTCCAAAAAACGCAGCAAAACAAACCTTCGGAAGACACCAGCATTTACTGTAATGTCTCGTTTCCTCTAAAGCAGGAACCTTGAAACAGATTCATAAAGAACATGTTCCAACAAAACTACCCAACAGTAGTGTATGACACTCGAGAACCAGACATAGCACACCCAAGTCCCTGGGTTTGGTCCTCGGCTCTGAAGGGTGGTGGCGGGGAAAATCAGACAGATAAATATACAGGTGCTGACACACATTGACCAAGGCACAAACCAACCAACCTCACTCTCGGCCTCATCCAAACACACCTCTGAGACAGTCAAGCCCCAGCTTGCGAGCCTGGTTGTTTCTCAGGAAAGGGAGGCTACAAAGAAACAAAAAAACTCTCATTCCGGACAAGGGGGAGGGCAGAGTTCTGGCTCTGAGATCAACCAGCCAATAGACCCAGTCTCCCCCAGGGAATCGTCACTCTGTCAACAAGATTAATTAAGGACTCCTCGCTAGTTATTCAAGGAAGGAATTATGAATGCTATGATCTGAGAAGTTTATTTTAGAGATTTCATTTCTTCTTCAGACGCTGAACCCCCCGCATTAATCCCAGAAGGTCCACAATTTAACAAGAGCGAAACACCCTTTCTGCAAAAGCCAGGAAAGGAAACATTCCCTACCCCCACCTCCATTACATTTCCTCCTAGGACACTTGAGCCAAGGGAGTCCGGATGAGAGGCTCAAGGTCTCTCTGAGTCCTCCGAGAGGGGGAAGACGGCAATTCCCAGGTATATATGGAATGGAATAAGTAGCTGGATAGTTGGGGCGGGAAGGATCCTCCCGCTGAAGGGGAGACCCAGAACCGTGGACAACCCCTCCCCCCCAGTTATTTTTAATGCTCCCGGCCACGGTGTAGGAGGTGGGGTCACAGATCACCCGCTTGGGGGAAGGGAAAGCCAGTATCCAGGTGGGGGAGGGGAAAGGAGAGTACCCAGACCTGGGCGGAAAAGTGGACTCCTAGGGCGAGGCAGGCGAGCAGGCAGGTTTCTGGACTCCTCCCTTCCCGAGGGCGCGTGGGGGTGCGCCTTCGTCCAACCTCTGACCGGACCACCCATCTACTCCTCCAAAAACTCCGGGAACTCACCAAGAATCACAGACGTGAAGAGAAACAGCAGTTTCTTGCCGGTTTTCCCCTCGGTGCCCATTACAGTTACAACCCCGACGCGTCGGGCGAGCCACTCGGCTGGGACGTGCTCCGCGATCCACCGCGCTGGGACTGGACTCCAGCCGCCAGGTTGAGTCCAGCCCGCCTTTCTCTCCACGCCCGGTGGGCGGTGCCCGGCTGTCCCACGTTCCGATTGGTGAAGAGAAAGGGACCTCCGATGAGTGACTCACCGTACGCAGGTGCAGCCCCGAACTTTCCTCCCTCTTGAGTCCGATTGGTGCCTTCCTTTCCTAGAGACCTCTGGTTGGTCCAGAAGACAGTCGCTTAAGGAAACCAAAGCCGCCTCCAACAGGTAAGGGCATCCCGATTGGCAGCAGGATTTGCAGCTAGGACCTTTCTGACTGGCCGGGCTCTTAATAGTTATCTCTGAGGAGGAGATGGGGAAGGTCACAGGCCTCTAAGATTTAAGAATCTGTTTGGTTGGGGGTTTTTTTTCCCATTAATTTAAAATTGCTCAATGCTGCACAGTCCTCCCCCCTCCCTTCCTTCCTTGATAAGTAAAAACACATATTAATATGGGAAGTTGGGAGAAAGGAGGAGAGATACTTTGAGTACCTACCCCAAACTGGGTTACTCTGTCCTTCTGGTTACATTCTTTCAAAAAGAAACTCTATACACAAACAACACAAAACATCCAGTTTATAAAAGCTGACCTACAGTTCCCTGGATGACAGGAGATTTGTCTTTTTTACGGGTATGATTAGTCAGTAGCTCCATTGCTGAGCCTTACATTTGGGTTGGTTTTTGTTTCCCTAGACCAGGGCTAGCTATGTGGCTGTAGCTGGCCTCGAGCTGTGGATCTTCCTATAGAAAAGGCTATCTCACACCGCAGCACCTGCCTGTAATTCCAGCACCCAAGAGATAGCTACAGGAATATTGGAAGTTCAAGGCCAGTCTTAGGTACCCGGTGAATTGTAGATCAGCCTGGGCTTCATGAGACCCTGTCTCAAAATTAAAAAATGAAGAGGAGGAGGAGAAGGAAGAACAGGAGGAGGAGGAGGCAGCAGAGGGAAGGAAATAACCAAAACCCCATAGTGTCTATGCCTGTAACCTAGCACTTTAAAAACAAGCCGGGCAGTGGTGGCACACATCTTTAATCTTAGCACTTGGGAGGCAGATCTCCGTGAGTTCAAGGCCAGCCTGATAAATTCCAAGGCTCCAAAGCTACTTAAGAGACCGTGTGGGAAGCCGGGCGGTGGTGGCGCACGCCTTTAATCCCAGCACTCGGGAGGCAGAGGCAGGCGGATCTCTGTGAGTTCGAGACCAGCCTGGTTCCAGGACAGGCTCCAAAACCACAGAGAAACCCTGTCTCGAAAAAAAAAAAAAAAGAGAGAGACCCTGTGGGGGGTGGGGGGGGAGGCTGGAGAATTAAGAGTTTAAGGCTATCCTTGACAAGGTAGTAAATCTGACAATAGCCTTGGTTAAAAGAGACCCCATTTAAAAAAAAAAAACCCACAGAATCGGCTGACGGGAGCTAATGGGAACTCACTGACTCTGGGCTGACAGCTGGGGAACCTGCATAGGACTGAACTAGGGCCCCTGAATGCAGGTGACAATGCGGGGGAGGGGGGGGCGGGGGAATTAAGCAGTATGTGGGGCTGAAAGGCCGGAAAAGATTCCATTTCTGTGCTGGGCCCTTTGGAGCCCTTGAACTACACCCCGGCCCCCAGGAAATGCTGAAGGCTGACACCCCAGCCCTCAGGATAAGCTGAAGGCCATGGGACCCCTGTTTAGGGGAAGTATTAGCTAATGGAGAAACCTAAGTTACATTAATGTTGCTGACTGCAGCCCATTCCCCTGCCTGTAGTCATACAGAGAATGTTGACCACCCAACTTCCCCTACCAGCTGGGTAATATTTCAACCAGTCCCTGTGGTTAGCAAAGGGTCAGCAGATGTCTGGAGGACTTAAGGGGAGGGGTGCTAACCCCTTAGACTAATAGCCTATCAGGAACTAACAACTGAGCTTTACCTAATCTTTAACCAATTATAATATAGGATACGTAATTTTGCCTTTTGAGACTGTAACCTTATGACTGTTTTGTGGTTTTCGTCTTTATAAACCCCTTACAATAGTAGATGGTCCTTCTCCCCCCCCATCTGCTGTGTCAGACTGGGAAGCAGAGGAAACCTTGCTTTTGCATTCGGAAGTGTGGCTCCGTGGTGGTCTTCTTGGGGGTCCTAGGACTCAGGCACAACAGGGCCACTGGCAGTGAGACCAGGATCTAACCCTAAAACTTACTTTGTGGAGCCTATTCTCTATTGAGAGATACCTTGCTTAGCCTAGGAAGGGGCAGGGGGACCTTGGTCCTGCCTCAGTAAAGTCAGGGGACAGACTTAGTTGACTTCCCAGAGGAGGCCTTACCCTCACTGAGGAGCAGATGGGAGGGAGGGGAAGTTGGGATTAGTATGTAAAATTAAATAAATAGCTGGGATAGTGGTGGCGCACACCTTTAATCCCAGCATTCAGGAGGGCATTCAGGAGGCAGAGGCAGGCGGATCTCTGTGACTTCAAGGCCAGCTTGATCTAGAATAGCCAGGACTGTTACAAAGAGAAACCCTGTCTCGAGAGGGAGGGGGAAAGGTGTTAAAAATAAATAATAAAATAAAAACAGGCTGGAGAGATGGCTTAGCAGTTAAGAGTGCCCGCTGCACTGGGCATGGTGGCACACCCCTTTATTCTACATAGTGAATTCCAGGACAGCCAGAGCTACAAAGGGAGACTTTGTCTCAAAAAGCCAGTAATAACAACAACGACATGTTTACCAAGCATGACTGGGTGAGATAGGAAAGTGCAAATAAATAAAAACAGCAGTTCTGCTCAGAAACAAACAAAAAACAGTTGTGACTTCAAGGTTGGCACCGTAATAAACAGGACAATGCATAACCAAGAACAAAACTTTGTACTACTAAATTGAAACAAATGTCTGGGTACCTGCCAAGTGCAAACTATGTTATTCCTTCTCAAACAAATTTAAAGTCCTAAGGTGAGACCTTACACAGTTTGGCTTTGTTTGGGGTGGTCTTCCTTTAGCCCAGGCTGGTCTGAAACTCAGGATGTATGTAGCCCAAAATGTGTAGCCCAAAATGTCCTTGAACTCAGGATGTCTCAGCCTCTCTAAAAACCAAGATTATAGCGTGAACACTATACCTAATAAATATGTGAAAGTGTTTTTTTTTTAATTTCCAGCTACTATGCCCTGGCAATGCACAAAATGTTTAATTATTCTTTTCTTCTGGTAGTCTTTCCTTTAAAAAAATAAAATAAAAATAAGCCTGGTCGTGGTGGTGCAAGCAAATCCCTGTGCGTTCAAGGTCAGCTTAATCTACAGAACAAGTTCCAGGACAGGTTCCAAAGTTACACAGAGAAAGCTTGTCTCAAAAAGCAAAACAAAAATCTAAATAAATAAATATTAGGAGCAGGAATGGTGGCTTAGTGGTTAAGAGTGTATACCGTTCTTTCAGAGGACCCACTGAATTTTTAGTCATATTGGTGTTTTTTTCAAAGAAATATTTATTTATTTATTTATTTATTATGCATACAATGTTCTGTCTGCATGCTTGCTTGCTGTCCAGAAGAGGGCATCAGATCTCATTACAGATGGCTGTGAGCCACCATGTGGTTGCTGGGAATTGAACTCAGGACCTCTGGAAGAACAGTCAGTGCTCTTAACTCTGAGCCATCTCTCCAGCCTGTCATATTGGTGTTTTGTTGTTGCTTTCTCTGTTTTTGTTTTTCTGGGTCGGGGTTTCTTTGTGTAACAGCCCTGACTGTCCTGGAACTAGCGCTGTAGATCAGACTGACCTCGAACTCACAGAGATCTGCCTGCCTCTGCCTCTCAAGTGCTGGAATTAATGGTGTGCGCCACCAACCCTGGCAGACCCAGTCTTCTAGTAGGAGGCTGCTTGTTCACTCCCGGCTGCCCAGACTCGAAATAACCAGACAAATTGTATTAAAGAAATCACTGCTTGGCCTATAACCCATTTCTATTATTTTCTAGAATTACTTTTTAAGCTTTCTCAGGTTTTCCGTGGATACTTGGCACTCCCATCTGTAATAGAAGACTGCTTGTTTGTTCCCGGCTGCTCAGCCCTGAAATAACTACACAGAAACTATATTATTTGCAGTACTGTTTGTATATTGCTAGGTAGCTCTTACATCTAGAATTAACCCATTTCCATTATTTTATATTTTGCCATGAGGCTTGTGGCCTACCAGCAAGATTCCAGCTGACAGCTCACGTCTTTCCCCGCTGGCAGCTACATGGTGTCTCTTTGATTACACCTACTCTCTCTCTATATCTCTTCCGGTCTGGCTATATTCTGTGAAGCCATTGGCTGAAAGCAGCTTTTTTTATTCTTTAAGCAATAAAAGCAACACATATACAAAGGGACTTCCCACACCATTTCCCCTTTTCTGTGTTTTAACTTTAACATAGTAAAATTACATATAACAAACAAGTATCAAGCAAGAATTATAGTTGCAATATTTATATCTATTTTATCTTTTATCATAACTAAGGAAAACTATAGTTATAACTATCTATTCCTCAACTCCAACATAGACCCCAGAAGGATATAATATTACCTAAGTTAACAAGAAGTGCATTGTAAGCAATTTCCAAAACTCTAGAATTGACAGAGACATCTCACTACCTGGAAAGTCACCCAAAGTTCTTCTGTACTGTTGGGGCATCCATCTTCAGCCTACAGGCCCATAATATCCAGCAGACTTTTCCATGAAGCAGAAAATTCAAAGATCTGTTTTACCTTGTAATGGTAAAGTTCATCAGTTGCATTCTTCTGTGTCCTGCAGAATATCTGGCAGACTCTTTCATGAAGCAGGAGCCCTGAAGGACCGTCTCACCTTTAGGCAAGTTTAGCAGTCATTTCTCTGTGGGTCCTGCATATCCAGTTCACACAGCATAACATCAAGCAGTCCAGGCAAGAGCAGTTTCTTGCCCAAATGGCTATCAAACTCCATAAGGAGCCTCTTCGATGCCCATCTTCTTTTTGAAGTATATTGGTGCTGCCAGGAACAGATGTGTCATTGTCATGATAAGTCCTTATTTTATTTTATTTTATT